TGTGCCACATGGAAACGTCTTCTACCTTGTTTACGCTTTGATTTGAATGAAAACAACGTATCCGTGTGCAGTGTTTCCCACAGGATTTTGTGAGACTGTGGTGGGTGGTCCTCGATCCCTTTAGGGGGAAACATAAACAGACAGACTGGATGAGAACGCGAATTCACTCTCTGACAGCAGGTGGTGGTTATGGATCAGCAATGATAAGAGGGGAAAATGCCATCGAAACTTTTGTGAAGTCAGTTCCCTTCAGAAATACATTCATATAAACCCCAACCCCAATATTTATATTTTTCAGTGAGCTTGCTGTACCTGTACAGTATTTTCTCTGTGCACGTCTGTTCATTTTAGGCCACGCTTGCAAGAGATAAACCCTTGAGCTTTTATTTTGGCGGAAAACTCCAGCTTCTGTGAAAACAGGTTTACAAACATTACTAATTTAATGAAATACTGTAAACATTTGCCCATTAAAATGTAGAAAATTATGCATAACTGGTGGCCGTTGCGTTCCCAAACGCTCTAAACTCACAGCACATTCAATAACGGAGTTCACTGCATTCACTGTGAACGGAGCCGCAGAAAACACCGGATCACGAGCCGATCGCGTGCGCTGCGCATTGTGCGCGCTTCACTTTGAAAAAAGCAGCGCGGGCCGCCACAGTCTAGTTAATGAATGCGAAACACTGCGCGTGTCGCAGCTGACACAGAATAGCATACGCTGTTTACATCCAGCTGATATTCTCCAAAATGGCGCTACGGTGAGGAGGAGACGAATTGTTGAATAAAGTCGTTGTCTTTGCGTACAAAAAGTATTCTCGTAGCTTTGTATAATTACGGTTGAACTCCTGATGTCACATGGACTATTTTACCGATCTCCTTGCTACGTTTCTGGACCTTGATCGTGGTAGTTACCTTGCTGTCTATGGGAGGGTCAGAGAGCTCTCAGAATTCATCAGAAATATCTTAATTTGTGTTCCGAAGATGAACGGAGGTCTTACGGGTTTGGAACGACATGAGGGTGAGTAATTAATGACAGAAAAAATTCATTTTTGGGTGAACTAACCCTTTAACGTAGTTCATGTCAACGAAAGCAACAGATATGCGCTGCATTTTATTCATCTTCAGCTAATTTCAAGATAAAGTTAGATAAGTTAGTCTTACATGTTGAGCGTCTTTCAACTTTCAGTTTCGTTTGCGGCAGTTTGTGCAGGGATTCTTAGTGCAGGCAAAATAAAAGTCCCACACTAATCAGCCAAACAGAGGAACTTATCAGCAAATCCAATAATAAATCATCCATCGTAGCTATCATTACTTTTTTTGATGTTCACATTACATGTATGTGTTGCATATTCCTTCCGAGTGCGTTGATTAATGTGTGTGTTGATGTTTCAGGCATTCAGCGACGAAAGGCATCATCATCGCTATGATTTGCACATTCTTCGAAGCCTTCAACGTGCCAGTGTTCTGGCCCATCCTCGTAATGTATTTCATCATGCTGTTCTGCATCACCATGAAACGGCAGATCAAGGTTCGGCAGTGGAAGCTTTTCTTTCGAGATCTTTTTAGTTCACAAAGCTGAGTTATCTAAAAATAGAGTTCCATTTGCACTGAAAGTGAAGTTCTTTGACGCTGTTTGTGTTTCCTCTGCAGCACATGATCAAGTATAGATACCTGCCCTTCACACACGGGAAGAGAACTTACAGAGGCAAGGAAGACACAGCGAAAACCTTTGCTAGTTAAAATTCCCCTTCCTGAAATTAAAGTTATTGATGAAGAATGGTGCGTAAAGGGGGTTGAGGTTTTTTTCTTTTTCTCTTTTGCTCTCTTTCTTTTTCTGAGTAAGGAAAAGCCAAGTTTGTTTTGATCGACATGGAAACTGTAATGCTGCCTTTAAGCGTTCGGGGTTTGGGCCTTTGAGAAATGCTGTTGAGAGCTTCTACACTGACACATTTTAATATATTTGGACAAATAAGTATGAGATTTGACTCATTTTATTATTATTTTTTTTTTGCTCAGTGGTCCCGATTCTTCTTCGGACCTAGAGGATTTGATAAACTATCTTCTCCAGTATAGATTTTAAAATGGTAGTTCACTTAGAGATGCTATATTTTTTTATAATTTACTCACCTTCATGTAATTTTGGACCAGTGTGGCTTTTTTTCAAAAGACGATATTTAGCAGAATGTCCATGCTGCTCCGTTCCATACCTTTAATGTTATGGAAAATAGCAGCATGAATATAATCTCTTTTTATGTTTCACTAGTGGTAAAAGTCATATTGGTTTGGAACTAAATGAAGGTGAGAAGTTAATTTTGGGTGAACTATTGCATGATTATTTACAAACGTGCGAATATCATATAAAATAGTGGGGAGAGTTGTCATTTGTATAATTAATATTGATGGGAAACGAGCCACATTTGATCATTTTATGACCCCCGTGATAAGAGAGACCGTTTAATATTCATACCGTGGTACCTTTGGTGTCCTCCTCAGTTAATATCATTAGATTCAGTATGCAGAAGAACGTAAGACAGTGATAGGGGAGACGTTATTGATCATGTAGGGGGGACTTAGTGGAGTTCCATCTTGCCACATGTTAATATTAGCCTATTATGAACATTTGTAATTCTCTTAATGTGCTGTAGCTTTGTATTTAATTTTTGTATATAGTTGTCCACCTTAATCACATCCATTCGTGTTGTTTGTAAGTCATTCTTCAGTAGTGAACCATTTAAACCCCCTCACCTTGTACATCAGGTTTTTTAAAGCAAAGTGTGCATTCCATTAAAATAGTATGTTGCAAAATGATTGGCTGTATGTTTTTATCATTTAAGCATTCCCAGTAACTTTCTCTCTTTTTTTTTCTTTTACAGAGGAAACATAGAGTGCTTTAACTAATACAAATGGATGGAGGGGGTTGAAGGTTGTTGTTCTTTTGGGTTTTTCTTAATTTTTTTTTTTTTTGGTGCTGGGCCATAACAACTAGTATAGATTTTTTTTTAAAGCAAATGGAAAGAACTTCAATAACTTCAATAAGCACTGGAGATGAGATCCGTTTTCCTATTAAAGTGCTTTTTTTCCCTTTTTTTTTTTTTTGGAGGGGTTATATATATATATATATATAAAATATTTTTTTGTTTTGCATGCTGGTTTTTTTTTTTTTTTTTTTTTTTTTTACGGCCTTTTTTAGTTTACAGCACCTGGTATTCCCAGGCAGTCTCCCATCCAAGTACTAACCAGGACCTACCCTGCTTAGCTACCGAGATCATACGAGATCGGGTGCAGACAGGGTGGTATGGTCGTAAGCTGGGACTGCCCCAAAGGGTGGGCTATTTAAAGATCAGCCACTCTATTGGCCAGTGTATTAGATAAGTAGTGATGAAAACGTTAAAGCTTACAGAACCTGGTATTCTCAGGCAGTCTCCCATCCAAGTACTAACCAGGCCCGACCATGCTTAGTGAAGAAAATGCTAAAGCTTACAGCACCTGGTATTCCCAGGCAGTCTCCCTTCCATTTTTTGGACAACGGCATTTTTACTGTATTAAATTAAACGTCATCAAAACAAATTAATAGGTTCTTGATTCCTGATTAAAGACATTGCATGTTTGAGGTTTTCTTGTGCTGCTGGTTAAGAGAAAATAAGATGATTTTAATAACTAAGTGTAATTTTTATAATTTTTTTTTATCAATTTAATGAATGAGTGAATTGAGTTATCGATACTATTTGTTAACAATGTCCTTGTTACACATTACACGTATAGCAATAACAGTAAATTATGCATAATTGCATGCAACTACCCCTAAACCAAACCCTAACCCTATAATAAATACATAATTTTACTCCGATTACACTGTAACAAGGAGACCTTAAAATAAAGTGTAACCATAATTCTTTAATATACAGAATACTATGTTTGGGTGAGTCAGAAGCTAAGATAAGGTTAAAAGTAATGGTGCATATAAATATTAATTTGTAATGCACAGAGAATAATTATAAACATTTATAGTACCGAGATAAACACCATCTTACGACCTTACACCTACAGTACAGAGGCTCCAAAAAGACACTTCCACATACAAGTCATTGCATTAGATAACAAAACATCAAACCAGCTGGCATCTGCAAACCTGTGAATAACATGTTTAATTCAATGTGTTATTTGTTTCTTCAATTTCTGAGTGAAAACTCTTCCTAGACCAGTTTAGTTTTATAGTCTTGAAGAGAAAGACATTTTCCTGTAGGGGGCAGCAATGTCACAGCCATCGTGTCGTTCTGGCAAATGCATGTATGATTTTAATAACTAAGTGTAATTTTTATAATTTTTTTTTATCAATTTAATGAATGAGTGAATTGAGTTATCGATAAGCAAGTACTTTTAATTGCATTATATGCATTTAGCAGACGCTTTTATCCAAAGTGACTTACAAATGAGGACAATAAAAGCAGTCAAAACTAACAAAAGAGCAACGATATATACGTGCAAATGACAAGTCTCGGTTAGCCTAACACAGTACACGTATGAAGGTGTGTATATATATATATATATTATACACACACACACACACAAAGAAAAACAAGTAGATAGAATAGAAAAAAATAGAAAGCTAGTGTAGAATAAAGTAGAATTAAGCATTTCATCATAATGTTGCGGCGCACTGTGAAGCCCCCTAGCGGCTGCCACCGTAAACGCACGTCTACGTCTCTCCCAGAGAGAGAGAGAGAGGGAGAGAGAGAGAGAGAGGGAGAGAGAGAGAGAGAGGGAGGGAGAGAGAGGGAGAGAGAGAGAGAGAGGGGGGGAGAGAGGGAGAGAGA